CATATGAGTAGTATAGGAATGAGGGATTTTGTGTCATTTTTCACAGTTTTAGAAATATTAAGGATGGCGAAGGATGTCGATTTCTTTTGAAAAGTGGTATTATAAAATTTAGATTCTTCAGAAGGTAAAGGAACTCATTGGGTTTGTTATTTCAAGGTCGCCAAGCATAAAAAGATTTATTATTTTGATTCCTTTGGATTGGATCCTCCATTAGAACTTCAAGAATATTTGAAAAATGGGAAAGATAAAATACTTTTATCAACATTTCAAATTCAAGAATTTAATACACATCATTGTGGTTATTACTGTTTACTTCTTTTAAAGTTATTAGGATCTTATGATTATCGAAAGTCAGTAATTGGTATGATGTGAATACCATCATCCATTACAACACCTTTTGGATACACCGAAGATAAGCCAGTTTTATTTAATTCATAAGTCTTCATCCTCATATCAACAAACCTAAATCCTTTATTTTCTCCAATAATTAATTTATTGTTCATTAGACAACTGAGATATTTTTCTTTTACGAGGATATCACTATTCCTATCTTTTTGAACACCTTTAGCAGACATTTTATTTTCATGATCATTCCAAACAAAGTATGTCTTACTATTGAATGCAATCATTCCATCACCTTCAAATTCAACTTTAAATAATCCTGGTGTTCGTTTATCGAATGCTTTATATACTTGTCTAGGGAAAAATTTATTTTTAACCTTTTCAAATTCTTCTCTAAGATGTGGTTTTATCAAACTTTGAAAATCCCCAGCAAGAGCCATATAACATGAATCTGTGTCCATTTCTAATCGTTGATAATCTTTCCTAGTTTTAAAGTAATCAATACAGTCATAATTGAACTGTAACATTTTTAGCTTAGAGTCATCATACACACTACAAGCGATTTGGATAGGCATGTTTTGTTTTACTTTTTTCGATTTCTTAACAACTTCATATACTTTAGCAAACCCATTTTCACTTACATCAAATTCTTCAGCATCATAGTAAAAATAATTATTTTCAGCTCTATTGAACTGTATTTCATCACACATTTTAACCTTTCTATGTTTATTCTTATCCATTCCAGTTACACCAAAGGCTGAATTTCCAACTTATTTAGCTCCTTCAGAAATTATAGCATACTTTTGATCAACATCTCCTTTACGTCTTTCATCAGATTTTTCAGAATTTTTCAAATCAGAATCAGAATTTCAAGCTATAACAACCTCATTCATTCAAGATATCTAGAAAGAATCCTTGTGAACTAGCTTTAGACCTTTAATAGTAAGTAACAAGATGACATTAAAGGTATTGTACAATCTTTAAAAATTAATTTAAGCTTTTCATAACAAGTAAAATTTTGTTCTATATTGTACGAGTCTACAAGCCATTCAAAAATTTAAAC